AAAAAAAAAAAAAAAAAAAAAGCCTGGGATGTTTGTGGAAGTTCTTCTCAATGTTTAAGCATTTGACCCATTTTTTAGAATTGATGTCATATGGTGTATGATATTGCTGATGATACTGTGACAAAACAGTTCTCTCTTTTATAATTAACGTGTGTTATTCCAATGTGGTATTTTTCCTATTTTGTTGTACTTTAGTGCTGTAACTTTTCCAGCGTAGAAACATGCCCATGTCAACATATTGCTGATCACAAACATTCCACTCCAGTACTACTTTTGTGCAAAACCTTAGGAAGAAACCTTCCCCACCCCCTGCCCCCACAACATACATGAATTTAGCACAAATGTACTCTGACCCAGGCATTCCCCCCCTCTGGGTAGTTCTATATTCAAGAGAATAACAAGTAGAACTGTATACAATAGGCAAGTCAGAGTTAAGCTACCTTTGTTTCCTAGTCCAGAGTTAAGCAATGTTTTTGTAGCAGAGGGCTGCTTTTAACGGAGCTTGGCTCCAAGCACAGCAGCCCCCTATCCTAGTCCTTTTATATCTTTAGGCAGTCAAGAGGTGCATATATATCCAAGTCAATAAGACTTTCCATTTAAGAGATCGTGTGGTCAGGGTCCTTAAACATAGCAGCAGTTGGGTAACTACAGCAGGTTGAAACTATATTTTCCTGGCTCAAACTCATTAAAAAGTTATTTCTTTTTTTCCATTCCTTCTATTTACTCTGCAATTCAGTTATAGGAAAGAATTTCAGAGACCCACTGACTTTCAATGAGATTAAAGCTCAAAGTCATTCAGGCACTTCTGAGCATCTTTCCCTTAACCTGAGGTCAAAGTATTGACTTTAAAATACTTTACATCCAAAATCAAATAAAGCAAGTGAAAAATGCTTTCCAGAGATTTTTTATTTATCTTAGTAAATTCAACCTTATTAAGAGGGAGGAAAAGGAAATCTTGTTTACAATTTAATTTCAGTACTATATAATTTCATTAGGTTTGCACAAAATGTATAATTCAGAGCTCTAGTGGTGGCATTATTCTTTTATCCCACTTTTCATAACAGTTTCACCAGTATTAAAACAACTTTCCATTTACTTATTTTCTCAGTGTTTGCATGAGGGAGTTGGATGCCATGTGAGCTCCTCACTGGGATGGAGATACTGCTTAATAGTGAGCGGTTGGAAAGTGTTGCACTGGATGCAGTTATTCCTATGTGTCCATGTCATAAATTGCCTTCAAAACTAATGGGCGTACTTAGACCTTGGAAGGAAAGTATCCTGTTTCAGGATGTTGCTTAAAGCCATGTATAGGCATTATGTTTCTACTGAGAGAGTCACCACTCTCCTCATAGAAACCACAAGCACATTCACTAAATTTATTATATCAGTTTATCATGACATCAGGATCCCCAGTCTGGGAAGTGAGTGAGTTTGGCTTCTTCAGTCCCCTTCCTAACTGGTCTGGGTGGGGACTTGAGCAGTTGTAATTCCCCATGACTTCCCCAGGCCAGGATCAGGCTGGGCTGGGAAAGGTGCAGAAAGCAGGGTGGGGGGAGCAGGTGCAGGTTGAATGCCTGAACTGCTCCCTCTCTGGCAGACATTTCTAGCATTGGAAATTTATCAGAGATTTTCACTGGTAGAAATGAACGCCTATTTGAAGCCTAAGTAAACAAGCATTGTCCTGAATTGGCACGTTATGGTGTAGAATTAATGGGTACTTGTACATGAATAGCTTAGTTTTTCCAGACTTCAGGCAAGTTGATGTTGTGTGAGAGCTTAAACCATGGACCTGCCCTGTGCAGATCAGATTGCAGAAAGAGGAGTTGCAGGTCAGATATCTAACTGTGCCTAAAGAGCCGGAAACGGTTTCCTATATGGTAAGCGCTAGGTTGCACACGGGTTTCTTTTTAAATTATAAGTGATTCTGGTTAACAATTCCAGAAGACAGATTGTGGCCAGTCACTGTAGTGTCTGGGATATTGTGGTACAACAATTATTTCCATTCTGATTTTATCTAAGAAGTAGCCTGGGAATACAAAATACCTGGGATTGAGAATTTAAATCCCCAGGGAAACAATTAATACCACATTTTAAAATTAATGCATTTCAAAATTTAAAGGAGGGGGGGTTATAAATTACAACACTTAAAAAATAATAGTTTATAGTTGATAATCACCATTAGCACTGAAACTGCATTTTAATAATTAGAGGCCTGCATCGTATTTCCAGCTCCATTTACATGGTGTCATTTGATTTCTCTTCTGGGCATTGGGAGCCACTCTGAAAATATCTTGCATCCTACTTGTTTTTTAGTTTGTATTAATTTTAGCATTGCAGTTTTGTTTCAAAAGAGTGATAACTCTGGTAGTCACTCTGTGACAGTTTATGTTGACAGTCTGGCATTTACTACCCTGAATCAGATTGTAAATAAAATATGTATTGTTTTAAACTCTGATGTTCAGTCCCACATTTATGGGAGAGTAAATGTGCTCATATGCTTATGTTGTGTTTTTGAGGAAACTGTTTATGAGGTTTCAGATGACAGTTCAAAGACAATGGAGGTTCAATGCATGGTTCTTCTTGTATTTTATGTCTATCCTATAGTTTGCTTCATTTGCATTGCCTTAAATACTCTTTTAAAGGAGATTATTACAATATGTGAGTTGAATATTCTGCTGGGAAGGAGCAGTGTCTTGTCTAGTGGTGAAAGCAGGGGAATGAGAATGGAGTTGCATCGCCAGAGGCAGTTTTCTGTTGGCTGTTTTCTTCCAGCTCTGCCACTGATATGGACTCATGCCTGCCTCACAGCAGGAATTGGGGAAAACTCTTCAGTGCAGTGGGAATGACATTGGGCCTTCGTTATGGCTGCTTACAGATGTGAAAAAAAAAAAAATAAACCAGCACTTTAAGCTGATTTTAATAGCCAATTGATTCAGCTTTAGATAAAAGCACCGAAAAGCCCTGCTGAAGCTCCTGATCTATACAGCCTCTGGGGAGCTGAGTCAAACCAATGCTCTGCTGCTTCTGGTAAAGCACTGTTTTGGGGGGCAGGGTTCTGCTTGTGTTTGTTTTCATCTCTGTCAGCAGCCTCTGTGACCTTCAACAAGTCACTGCTCCTCTGGTTGTCTCAGTTTAGTCATCTTTAAAACGGGTGGAACAATGCTTACCTACCTCACAAGGGTGTTGTGAGGCTTAATTAATTGTTTGGAAAGCTCTCTGAGGTCCTTTGATGGAAGGTGCTATGTCAGTACTTACTATGATAGTTTTATGTTAATAGTTCAATCATTTTCTTACTACTTTCACCCTGAAACTTCCTGCCATAGTCTACAGAGAGCAGTTTTTTAAATACCAGACCCCATAACTTTTCATAGAATATTTATCTTCAAATCATGAAAGATAACAAGAACTGAGTGGCCCAGTTCTTAATGTAGAATTGATGACCTGACTAGAAGAAAATATTTAATACTAAGATAGATAAAGTACTATGTGTTTATGGGAAGAGCTGGGTAAAAAAATATTCATAGAGCAAAAGAGGATATTTGGGCTTAAAATGTTGTGGACTTCAAAAGAGATATTTATGTATTTTTTTATATTCTCCCCTTACTATAAAGGAGATATTTAATAAAAGCATTTTTCATCCTGTAATGTACAGCATGCACAAAGCTTCATGCAGGTTTGCATTTTCAAAACCAAAGTTCATACATTTCCTATATAGCGTTTAAAATCCTAATGAAAATGGAGGTGGCTGCAGATAATGACAGTAACAATATCAAGAAAAGCCTGTGTCAATGCTTAATTGCTAATGCACTTAAAGTAAGTAAAGCATGCTGTTTGGGGTTTTAAAACCCTGTGGTCTTCATTATGGCTTTGATTTGTGTCTCTCATATAGAACTCCAGGAACGTTAGGTACAGATATGTGCTACATAGCGGAACCTTTCTTGATCATTTTACCGTGGATGTATTTTAACCTTGTATAGAGATGAGCATGAAAGAGTCATGCATATGTATAAATGATGTATTTGACCAGTGTAAAAATAAGTTTTTGTTTATGTATTTGAAATGTAAGTACATTTTGTGCCACTAACACTGTGATGTATAAAAGAACTGTCGAATGCCTTTTAATGTTGTGTTTTGTACTTTGAATCATATTGAAGAGTTTAATTTGTAACTTCAATAGATATTTTAAATGAATGCGTCTCCTGTGATTAATTATACCCCCTTAAAAAAAACATTGTTACAGTAGTTTGTTTTATACCTATCTTCAGCTCCTTCCTTGAGTGCAAGGAAACATGAAAGCACACAGAAGGGGTCCATTTTAACACCCACAAAAGTCTTTTGGCATATGCCCGAAGTGAGTTAGCCTGCTGCTCTAAGCATCAATTAGAATATTTCAGTATCCCAAAGCGCCACAGGTTCAAGTCCTGTCATGGTTAGCTCCGTCTATCACTCTTCTACAGGGGGTGGCTTGAGCTTCTGACAGTTTTTAGTCTAGTTTTGCCTGTCTTGAGTCTGTGGAAGCAGAAAGGGAGGGTGAGGAAGGAGGTTGGAAGAGCTTGTTGGGACTTCGGTTTCATCTTCTGCCATGCCCAAATACCAGAGACCACAGCTAACTCTTTATAAGAGCAGGGATTTGCCTCCATGGCCCAAACCATGATTTCCCTGCACTAGTTCGGTTTGTTTTGCC